AAAACTAAATTCTAAATCAACACATAATGGATCAGGAAAGACTGTGTAGGCAGTCACCAGCATCTGAAGATAGCAAGGTTTAACTGTAAGCTCACTAAAGGTATTAAAATAGGTAAGAAAAGATTTTGTCTATCAGAAGTAGGATTACTGGTTAGCAATAAAAGTACAGACAAAATGACAGAAGGACAATTTTAAGACTTTTCAAGTGCTTTTTATTTGGATGGACATTCAAATATTTTAAATTACAACATAACAAAATATTTTAAAATTGATGTATAAAAACCAGCTACATTTGATAACATATTAGCTTTCATGGTACACAATTAATGTGAATCTGCAAAACTAGACTTCACTACTCTCTACATGTAATTTTGTGTTGCAAGCTGTATTAATGATTATAGTTTCTATTATGTAGTTTATTTGACCCAGTTTTTCAGGCTAAGTTCTGAACTCACTTCTATAGTCTCCTTTAGATTACTGGCCTTGCCATTAGGCCTTGGCCCTTAGATCTCCTGACTTGCCCACCCTTTAATTCTTCATTCTGGACTAGGAGCGCCTCTATGTCTTATTGGCTTCTTAAATTCTCTTGTTCTCCTTTGTACCCCATTCACATTTTTTCTTCCAGTCTGTATTTTCCTTTTAATTAAAAGTTTCAATACTCTTTTTGATCTTTCTATTCAAACCTGTACAAAATTACGTTTATTCATTATAATCACTTGGTTATAATCTTACCTTTGGCTTTCCAAAAGAAAATCATAGAATGTGATAGAAAAATCATTCTCATATCTTCTGTTTCCCAAACTAGAACCCAATCCCCTAGCTTAGGGAGGAGAACCTCTTGTGTGCCATAAGAGTTAGGTGGTGAAAGGTGTGCTTGTCCTTGCTTTAGGAACACTTTCATTAGGAGTTTCATTGTAGCTTTGTTTTCTAAAATTCTGTCTTCGTATGGATTTGGTGTCAAGGTGAACTTTTCCATAGGTCATTACTTCCTGTTCTGGTCTTCCAAGTGGAACTGCTCTCCCAACTTTCTGCTGGCCACATGTGCCTGGTCTAGACTGAGAGAATTCTTAGGAAGATCTTCTCCAGTGGAGGTGGTACCTTTCTCCTTATAGTCACAGTAATATGCACATGACAGGGTAGTGAATCAGTGTGAGCATAAGGGTTACTGAGTGTGTGTGTATGGGAGGATTATGGCAAACACTAATCCATACCCTTTTTTCACCAAGGTACTTTTCAACACAGGCGTGTTGTCACCTGAGCAGCAAGCACCTCATGATCCAGCCACCCTCAGCACTTGCAGCAAGTGCTGAGCCCCCAAAATTCAGGTTACACGCTCCAACCTTGGGATTGAGTAACTTGTATGTCCTCCTCCCACTAACTTTATAGAATTATTCAAAAGCCAAGGGTCAGGAAAAAAAAAAAAGGATGATAGTTCCCTTTTAATTTTGCTTTCTTCCAAAAGCCTATAACCTTAATACATTTAAGCGGGGGGGGGGGGGGGGTGGAATCTAGGTTTTGACATAAGTTTTCCACAATGTTTCCTCTTATTAAATCCCTTGGGAATTATAGGGTCTATATTGTCATCTCTTTGAACTTAAAAAGGAACATAGTCCACAGAAATCCTGATATTTTCCTAAGACTTATTGAGTAGGTTTATGGAAAGGGAATTCTACAGTAACTGCAAGTATCTTAGTCCATTTGGGCTGCTTATAACAAAGATAACATAAACTGGGTAGCTTATAGAAAACATGAATTTATTTCATAGTTCTGGAGGCTAGAAGTCCAAGATAATTTGGTGACAGATTTATTGTGTGATTAGGCCCACTTCCTGGTTTGTAGGTGGCTGTCTTCTCACTCTAACTTTCCTTGGTGGAATGGGGCTAGGGAACTATTGGGGTATTTGCCATAAGGGCAATAACCATTCATGAGGGCTCCACCCTCATGACCAATGTACCTGCCAAAGACCTTCACTTTCAGATAGTACCACCGTAGGCTTTAGAATTGATCATATGAATGGGAGGGTGGGAGTGGGCACATATATTCAGTCTACAGTACCAGAGGAAAGGAAAAGGATAATTTATTGTTTTTTTTTTTTAAATCCATATGGAACTTACTAAAATGCACATAAAAAAACCTTAAAGCTCTTAAAGGCAAGAATCTTAGTGTAGGAGGAAGTCTGTATCAATTTACAAATTTCTTATTTTCTAAATTATCTTTGGAAATTTTACAAAGGAACGTGTATTTCTTTTGAATATATGCATGTATTAAAATATATACATTTGAATGTATTCATTTAAATATTAATCAAGATTATTAATTTTTTTTTTAAGCTCTGGTCATAATAGAGATTTCTTAGATTTAAGACCATGATTCAGGGAAATGAGTTCAGTCCTTGTTAGTATGTCTCTATGTCAAATGAAAACCATACTCTAGGAAGAGGGTAGAATTCAGAAGTGGATTGATATAACATTCTTCCATGCCAGATGCCTCACTTTCTATTTCCCTTTTCTCCCAACTCACCTAATTCAGACCATTAACTATCCTTATAATTAATTAGCCTTATTAAAATATAGGTTTATAATTTTCAAATCTGAAAATTAAGCATTATCCAATATCACAAAAGGATGAAACTAGTTCATTAAATGGTCTTAATTCAATGGAGGGCACATTGAATACATTAAAGGTTGAGTGCAGTGTTGGTAAAAACTCCAATTTTATATAAAGCTTATAGTGGTGATGAAGATTATGGTCTTTAATTCATTGTCTTCTTCCTAACACATTAATTTTTTATATGCAGAATCAAAAATGGATGTAAGATGAATTGTTGGCAAAATAACATATCAGTAAATTGAATACAATATGATGCAGAGAAGTAAAGTGACTTTTTCATGAGAACTCTTGCTGTAAGTAAATCCCCACCTCTAACTTCAAGAAGTAGTAGATGGGTGGACAAGTTTGGTGGAATATTATCCACTAACCCCTAGCCTAGTGAGGGAGATTTCAAGGGAGCTACCTGGAGCATTTGAAATAAGGTATCTGCAATCATGATATACCTCAAGCCTGGGAGAACTACAGCAGACTATGCCATACAGGTTGATTTCTTCAGAATATCCAAGAAAGTTTACTTTCTTTGATGGTGAACTAGAAGGATGTACTTACATTGGGTTGACCTGTGCTCCTAAAGGTTGTTGGTGCAAGGTATGTAGGTTCATATCATATTTTGGAGATTTGGTTCATATGGGAGATGAGAAAATTGGTCTGGCTTTATAACAGGCCTCTCCCTAAAGCAAATGGGCCTGTAGAAGATGACAGCAAGAACATGCAGATGTAAGAATATGACAGATGTCCTGGAGTTGGTAACAGAATTCTAAGTGACTACCTGAAATAAAGATGCTTGAATTAATTTTAAAAGAACTATAAGAGAAGTGAATGTGCCACAGGAGAGTCATACCCAAATTATCTGCGGTTTAGAGAACATAACTTGATACCAATTCATTTGAAATCTTTCTTTTTTTCTTCCCTCCTCATTTTGTAGAAGCAGACAGCACTCCACTTCTTACCTGCAGGATTATAGACTCAGGTATGTCCCAGATAGAATAATTTATCATTACATAATAAATCATAAGGGTTGGTGGGATTAATTCACAAAGTTGTGCCTTGATTGTTCAATTCAATGCATAATACATACCTGCACTCCACGAGACCCAAGCAAGTCATGCCAGGAACTATATATTCCTCTGCTTTACTCTAGGGCTATGGCAGTGATAGAGGAAAAGAACAAAAGGCCTGATGTCCCGCTGCTCCCCTCAGCAGTGTACTTCTTCAACCTGCCTGTTCTACTCCCGACCCTGCACCTCTGGCCTGCACCCCAGTTCTGTATTTATAAATAAATAAAAATCTTTAATTAGAAGAAAATTCCACTAGTTAGTTATCCAATATCAGCAGCAAACAGGCCATGCCACAAAGGAGTGAGTCCCTTCCCAATAGAAAAGGATTGTATCAGGACTCTGCAATGGCTTAGGCTGCAGTCCACCTGCCAGTGCAGGTTCTTCTTTTCACCAACACTCCCCCTCTGCAGGGCAGCAGCCTCCTGCCTGCCTGTGACCCCCACCCTGCCGGTGCTTCTCTTGGAGCTTCTCTTTACTGACCTCCCGCAGCAGAGGCCACACTCCTCAATGTACCCTCCTGCATCCATGCAGGCTTCTCTCAGCAAAGCTGTTCCTTTCCCTACAGAGCTTCCTTCCGGCTTCTGTCCATGCAAATGTCCTTTTCCTTCTGTCCCTGTTTCTAATAAACCTGCTTTTTAAATATAACTTATGTCTCTGTCTCATGGAGAAACTTGCCTGGGAACTCACAGCTTGCTGCTGAAAGAGGAACCTGTTGAAACCTTTCCCAGAGTGAATCCAAAGACCCCACACTAACACTAAAAAAGACATCAGCAGTATATGCTTTGTTCACTTATGACTATTACATGATCTGTGATATCACTAAAAATATGTTTAGGAACTCAAATACCTTTAGGCTATAAAGTTATCATGAAGACTGACAGGCACACCTAGATTTAAGTAAAAAGGTCATAACATCATGTGACAGGCTCATGTCCATTTACTCAGGGCGGGCCCCAAATACCAGCAAATTATATCATTTGGGCTGTTGGGAAACCTTTTCTTCCGAGTCAGCTATTCGTGTAAAGTAGTGGGAAGTTCTGCCAATCACATCACCATTCTGCAACTAGGGATAAACTTTCCTTCTGGGAGGAAGTGGAAACCCCGAAGATTTGGCTTGGTTCTGATACACCCAGTTCAGTCCTTGTTGCATTCCTTGGCTTTTCTCCTCCTTCAGTTTGGGCAGAATTAGCAACTCCTAAGAAGTTGCACAGCAGAGGAAACTCCCGCGCCCCAGGTCTCCATCATCACCTAAGCCGGTGACGTCACGGCGTCTCCAGCGCGCCCCGCCCCCAGCCGTCCTCGCCGTCCCGCCCCTGACCCGCTCAACACCAGGGGACGCTCGTGGGCCGGGTCTCCCTGGCAACCACTTGCTCCGCCCCCTCCGCCCCTTTAACCTTTAGGGTGCGCGGTCGTCGCGTCCCTCGTACTCTCTCCCCTGTCCCCCTCCCCTCACCCCACCCCCTTCTCTAGGGACTCTCCGAGCCGGAAGCGAAGATGGCGGCCGTAGCGGCGTCTGGCGCGGCTTCGGCGGAACTGGTGATCGGCTGGTGCATATTCGGCCTTTTACTACTGGTAGGGGCGGCGCTTGGAGTTTTCCTAGTGTTTGGTCTGGTGGGGCGAGGGAGGCGCTGATCCTACACCTGGTCTTTCTGAACCCAGGAGACCTTCCTCGCTCCGCTGCGTCCGGCTTTTTAGCTCGGACAGTGGAGGGCTTCTCAGCGTTGAAGCGGCGCTATGGGAGGTGGGGGAAGAGGCGCTGATTTCCGGCCGCTTTTCGGTCTTTTACCTGGTGACGTCCAATATCGTAGGTTTCCTTTCTGCGAAACTCTTGCCTGCTCTCTGACTCAGACACTTGGAGGGCAGAGTTTAGGCACAGAGGTGACCCGCACTGTTCAGAAGGGTGTGGTGGCCTCTGTCCCCATAGGACTGCAGCACACAGTGTGGGGCAGTAGCGCCGGCCCTTTGCAAGTTCGCTAGGCGCCGGCCCTGTTAACTCGCCAGTTGCTGCTTCTCTAAGCATCCCCACCCCCACCCCCGCCCTTTTCCCTCCACTTGGTATTATTGTGTCTCCAACCATCTCTGCCGATTGATTGTGCGCTTTTGCCTTGATGACGTGAGTTGTTTTGACTTTCAGGTTTCACATTCCTCCTCTGTGTTAATAGGTGTAGAAACCTGTGTAGGGAAGAGCTGTGTCCTCTTTATGGCCAGCATCGGCGTGTATATACTGTCTGTCACCCATCCGACTGCGGGTGTCTTCTTTTCCAACCATATTAATCTTGCTTGTTGAATGAGCGCAACTAGCAAACTAGCACTTCAGTGGCCCAAAGTGGCCTAATTTTTTACTTTCTTACCCCATATTAAAACCTTTGGTTTTATTTTACGTGGTATTTCAGTTTCTCTTTTTATGCCCTCCCATTGTTATTGTCCTTCTTTACTGTCTATAATCTGTCCTGTTTTTTTTTACTTCCTGTTCCAAAGCATTTTGCTTTGCATTAGGACAACAAACAAAAAGGAAAACAAGTTTAATTCTAGGTCAGGAATCAAGAATTGTTTGATTTTTACTTTACATATCAGATGTTACCATAGCACATGTAACCAGTGTAAGATATTACTATAGCATATGTAACCAGTGTACTGTGTCTTGCTAGTAATTATTTACAGCAGGGAAACTCTCTATTTCCAATCCCCCCCAAAAAGACATTAGAGGGAAAGTGCAGAAGTAAAGGTTATCTCACAATATCCTAAAGCTGGTGAGGAATTCAATGTAACTACCTGAAATAGATACGTCTTTTAGTTTCAGGGAACTAGAGAAGTGAATGTTCCTAGTTTCTTTGGCCATCCTGTCCCCAGAAGAGAGTATACTGGAACATGATTTATTTCTTTTGGTGGAGAAAATGAAAAACACTGATTCTTTATTGTGGCCTCCAAAGCTTATTTTAAGCTCTTTACTTGGTGAGTTCACTGACTTTTCCAGGTCATCCTATTCATTTGGTTTAGAAGAAAACAAAAGAGCTTGGAACCAGTATCAGTGTAATGGGAATATCTTGGCAGTTATCAAGTAATAAACAATTAAGGTATAGAAGTTGTATTTTAAGTTGTAGGAAGTGCAAACAAACCATTATGTGTCCTTTAAGAGGGTTGGTGGGGAAAATAAAAATTAAAATTTTTAAGTACTGGGAAACCAAAGTATGACTTTACATATGAAATGGGACTTTGGAGAATAGAAAGCATTATTGCAAGAAAGGGGAGTTGAGGTAAATTTTGGATAGATGAAAAATAGAAGACATTTAAGTGGAGATATTTAGTTGGTCATATTATAAAATAGGAACAAAGAAACATGAGAAGGGAAGTTAGTTTGAAACTTGATGTGGAAGTAGGAAAAATACAGGACTTTACTTTTCTGCAAATCTGTAATCCTGTCTTGTTAGAAGATTGTTGCATTCTCTCTTTTGCATTCTCTCTTTTGAGATGTTTTTGCTTGTTTACTATATATGAAGAAAAACCAGTTTCAGTGATAGGAAATCAGAAGCAATTTTAAGATAATTGTAGATGATCTTTGCTACTACCCAAAACTCAACACATAAAAGCTTCTTAAAGATTAACTGCAATATGGAACCTAAAATGCTATCAGTGAACATTTTGTTTTATTGTATTAAAATCCATTAATCCATGTTGTATTTTGGGTGGATTTTTTCCCCACTCATGGTTTTATAATCTGTTGCACAGTCATTTAGAAAATGCTGGTACACTAAGTTAGCATGTCTTCCATATATGGATATACTTTTTATAATAACAAAATATCACATTCATTAATGACACAACTGATTTGTTATAATGCAATTCTCAAATGAGTATTGAGAAATTGTGAAGCTCGCTGTTTTCTCAGAACTACAATTTTCATTTGAAAGCTTGAATCTTATCATTGGTAATAATATTGTTGCTTTTCTTGAAGTGATAGACTTCTATTCATTGCCAGAACATTTGTGTAATAACCATAACATACATGCTTTCAAGTAAAATTGTTGTTCTTTCAAAGAGTACCTGGTTTAACTTTCACCTTTTAGTATAGAGATGTTTGTCCATGAGACAGCCATTATACCTAGTTATGCAGTAGAAGAACTTTAAAGTATACTTTACACTTTCTCTCATGAAGAATTAAAAAGACCCAATGGTTGAAGTTTAATAAAATTTTTACTGCTTCATCAAATACAGTGTTAGGTTAAATTACTGTGCTGTGTAATTGTAAAGACTATTGCCATAACTACTGGTATAATTTGATGTTGTTGTTTTGATTTATGCTGAATTTGCCAGCAGTTTTATACACCATGACTTATGAGTCATCAACAAAATGAAGAAGCAAAAGACATTTTATTGGCCCTCCCTGGCGGTACAGTGGGTTAAAGCACAGCACCAAGAAGCTAAAGCCACTTCAGCATTAGTTCAATCCCTGCCCCCACCGGGTGATCCACATGGCCTGGCAGACCTCTCCTGAGGACCCACTGCTTACCTCAGCAGTGTACTTAGTTGATCTGCCTGTTCTGAGGACCCACTGCTTACCTCAGCAGTGTACTTAGTTGATCTGCCTGTTCTGCTCCCCACTCTGTCTCTGGTGAATCCTCTCACCACACCTGTGCCTCTGGTCTGTACCCCAGCTCTGTATGCATAAATAAATAGATCTTAAAAAAAAAGGACATTTTATTATGATGAGAAGAGTAGTTTCAATTTGTAGACCCTCCAGAAAGGGTTCTGGTCCTACTGGATATCAAAGACATACTTTGAGAACTGTTGCCAATCATCTACCAAAAAATCAGAACTAAGTTTGCTTACTTTTGTGATTTGGGCAGACAAATGAACTTCAGGAATGGTTCAATTTGGTTCTTCCAAGCCTGTCTGTCTGTGTTTATCAAAACTAAGATCTTTTACTCCAAGATCTTCAATAATTTTGTTTATACCAACTTTCAAGGTACATTTCCCATTACTGTTAGAGACTAAGTCTCCATTTCTATATCTGTTAGCTATACCATGTGAGACCCAGCCTTTCTGAATCAGACCCTGCAGCTTAAAAAGAGACTGAAAGTTTGTGTGCGCTTTAGTTTAACATTCTTTTATTGACATTTCTACCAGTGTCCATGGTTCTAAACCTTCTTAAAAACCACCTAGGAAGTTTTTAAAATCCTAATGTTAAAGTAGACTCTTTTTGGAGTGATTGGGGAACTGTGCTAATGTTAACAAAATTATATGTATCAGTTTTTTTCATGAAATAATGTAAGAAGAAATTTAATAGACATTCAATATCAGTTACTATTGTAAAGCAGTTACTGTTATCAGGCATTGTACTAAATTCCTCTCAAGGTTTTGTATACACTTTTTCTGCTCCTAGCACAGTATTGTCAAAACAGTAGTGGGCGACCTTCTCTCTCACACACACACAAGCTAGATTCCTTTCCTTAATTTTTCTTTGATTATCTTTTCTGAAATGTCTGTCTTGTTTGAATCTTTATAAATTGCTATGAAAGAAGTATTTTTATAGAAGTATTCTATTGTATTGGTATATAATATAGTAACTATTGTTAGACTTAACCTAAATAACAAAACTCTCTTAGGATTCTTAGTTTTAAAAATAAGGGGAACCCAAGATTACAAAGTGTGGGAACTGTTGTCTTAACTATTTTGCTTAGGTTGCTCACTCTCTGTCCACTTAATTTCACCAGCTCCTTCCTCTGCAATAAGACCTAATCACTTTGAACTTAAAAATTAATACAAATAGTATAAATATTTTATGAAAAATAATTTCCCAAATTAGTAAATACTATTGGTAAATAGTATTACAATTACTAAATAGCTTTAGTAATTAGAATATGAGCTGATTTCTCTTTTTTTATTCTGAAAAAAAAAAAGAGAGAGAGATTGGTTTCTTTCTGAACTTTTTTTCCCTCTTTCATCCAGGTTTCAAAGTGTTAATTCACTTCCACTTTATTTTTTTCCTTTTAAACCCCAACTGAAATGTTAATATTGTGGAAGAATGATAGGCAACAACGTGGGTAGATTTCATATGCATTATCCTAGCTGAAAGAAACCATATTCAAAAGAAGACATACTTAGATTTTTTTTTTAATATTTATTTATTCGTACATAACTGGGGTACAGGCCAGAGATGTGGAGGGTGAGAGGATTCACCAGAGACAGAAAGGGGAGCAGAACAGGCAGATCTACGAAGTATACTGCTGAGGGAGCAGCGGGCGGGTCAGGAGAGGTCTGCCACGCCAGCCATGTGGATCTCCTCCGGGGCAGGAGGATGGAACTCTTGCAGAAGAGGCTTAAGCTTCTTAGTGCTGTGCTTTAATCAGAGGCCACCAGGGAGGGCCTCTACTTTTCTTTTAATGTTGGCTGGGTTGTTTTCCTGTCATCAACATTATAATGAAATGATTTGTTGGTTCAGGAAACTCCTTATTTGAGGACCTGCTATACTGGGATACCCTCCTCAAATCAATTCAATCAGAAAGTGAGGTTCCTCCTGACTTTAAATGTCCAAGGATTCCACTCTGGGTCCAAATTGAGAACCACTGTTTTAAATAAACTCTTTAGGAGATCTGGAACAAAAGTGGAATTGTTGTCTTTGTACCCTTTTTGACTGATTACTTCCTTTCTGGATATGCTAGGACAAGCACCTGAACTGGAATTAGAATCATATAACTCATTTCATAGCTTTCAAACATCACAATCAAGGTTTAAGAAAAATTTTAGCTGGTTAAGCATGCTAAAACTACTTCAGCATAAGTTCTATCTCACCCCCGAGGTGACCCACATGGTGCAGCAGACCTCTCCTGACCTGCCCGCTGTCACCTCAGCAGTGTACTTCCTCAGTTGGCCGCTTGTTCTGTTCCCCACTCTGTCTCTGGTGAATCCTTTCACTTCCCCTGCACTTCTGGCTTGTATCCCAGTTCTATATGCAGAAATAAATCTTAAAAAAAAAAAAAAGAAGAAGAATTATTTTATGTTGTCAATTGCATGGTGATTACCAGCATTTAATCTTTAACTGAATGCTAAAGATGCAACTATTATAATGGGCAGAGGTTAATTTCAATTGAAGTTATTTCTAAGGTGGATGTTTAAATAGTTAAGTTTAGGATAAAACAACTTCTAGGTGTATCTCCTTTAGGTTAGAGCAGTCTATTGGGGAAAAATATTCATTGATATTAATTTGATGGGAGAAATCATAACTAGTTGCACTGCTTGGTGAACATGCATATAACTGAACACTTATCAATACCTTTTACTTAATTTTGTGCATATTGTATATCTTATTTGTTAACTTAGTGAGACTCTACTGCTTTCATGAAATAGCCTTTGAAAATTATAAATCTTGAACCAGTTTATAGCATTGGACTATCCTTATATATCTAAAAGAATCTTTATTGCCATAATATTCTCATTAGTAACTTTGAAACACATACTAAACTCAGATAATAGCTAGGATAACAAAACATTTCCTTTTGCTTGTTTCAGGCTATTTTGGCATTCTGCTGGATATATGTTCGTAAATACCAAAGTCAACGGGAAAGTGAAGTTGTCTCCACCATAACAGCAATTTTTTCTTTGGCAATTGCACTTATCACATCAGCTCTTCTACCAGTGGATATATTTTTAGTTTCGTACATGAAAAATCAAAATGGTACATTTAAGGTAAGTGTTTTACTGTGTGACTCAAGTTCTTGACAATTGTGTTGAAGTTTAGTATTCCATCAAATATTGTACCCTAGTTTTGTCTCTGGAAATAAACAACAATGGAAATGTAGCATAGAGTTTGAGAATGTGACAATGAACATGGTAGACTTGAGTTATACTATTAGCTTTCATAAGAACTTTTAAACAGCCTTCAGATATGAAGAATGCCTTTTGTTGTTTTCAATACATTTGATATAGTCATATGTATTATTTTTATTTTTGTGCCCTTATCACACTCTTGAAGTTTGACTTGATATATATTAATACAATAAATAAGCAATGTAGAAGGGATTTTGTATTTGGCAGATCTGTATCTTAATTTGTATTTATGTTGAGTAGTTTGAGTCAGTATGGCATAGTGAAAAGACACCAGGATGGAAATTTTAAGACTTGAATTCTAGTCTTACTCTGAACTATCTACATGAAGATTTGGTCAGTCAGTTAACATTTCTGGACTTCAGGTTGTTCATCCTCATTTTTATTTTATTTTATTTTATTTATTTTTTTTTTTTAAAGATTTATTTATTTGTGCATACAGAACTGGGGTACAGGCCAGAGGCTCAGGGGTGGCGAAAGGCTTCACCAGAGACAGAGTGGGGAACAGAACAGGCAGATCGAGGAAGTACACTGCTGAGGGGAGCAGCGGGCGGGTCAGGAGAGGTCTGCCACGCCATGTGGTAACCTCCGGGGCAGGCGGGAATCGAACTCATGCAGAAGCGCTTTAGATTCTCAGTGCTGTGCTTTAACCCGCTGCGCCACCAGGGAGGGCCCATCCTCATTTTTAAATGAAGATTCTCAGATCTAAAGAATTCCAAGTTCCTGTTCAATTGTGCAAATTACTTTCATGTTTCTATTAGCTTGAACTAATGTGTAAGGCCGGAAATGTGTTGTCTCTTCAGTCCAGCACACAGTAGTTACTTAAAGATTTGAAGATGTATTATTTCAGTAATGTGTAGTTCCAAAGTAAATTCCTGAATTGGGCCATTTGGGCTTAAGTGATTTGAAATTATTTTTGTAGTTGGTTTACATATATTTTGGCTGTTGTGAAAGCTACAGTTATTTTCTTTCTTTTTTTTTAAGATTTATTTTTATGCATACAAGAACTGAGGTGTAGGCTGGAGGTGTGGGCTGGAGGAGTGGTGAGAGGATTCACTAGAGACAGAGTAGGGAGCAGACCAACGAATCTACTGAAATGTACAGCTGAGAGGTGCAACAAAAAGACAGGAGAGGTCTGCCTCTGTATGTGTGTTAGCTTCCTGGCTGAGGATTGAACTCATGCTTAGATAGCTTGATAGGGCTGACTTTAACCCCTGCACCACCAGTGAGATCCTAGTTATTTTCTAAGTAAGCATTAATTGAAAACTAAGAATGTAATAAACACTGTGTGAAAATAGCAACTAATACCTTTTGACTATTTACTCTGTGTCAGACCCTATCCTAAATGGTTTATATATATTAACTCTCTTTAACCTTCCAACAACCCATGATGTCTACAGTGTTATTCTTAACTTTTAGGGCAGCAAATGAAGGTTCAGAAAGGTATAGTAAGCTATTTAAGGTCATAAAACTCATAAATGTGGTCGCTGGGATTTGAAGCTCTGCAGTCTGGCATCTTTACTCACTAAATTATAAATATTCTCAATGGTAGTATATTGAAAGAGATAGACATCTGATATATTATTAATTGAATAGAATACTTTTTAGTTTTGAATTTAGAATATTTGATTTCTTCAGATTTTGTGAAATGTATCTTGAAATTTTTTAAGTAAGAATTGTCGTGAAGTTATGGACTTTCTTTTAGATTACGCAGTGAACCTTAAATTTGTATCATTCACTATCACCAAAATCATACCCTCTATCATTTCTTCCCATTCCCTTCCTTTTCCCTCTGATCCACCATATTTTGTCAGAGTCTCAGAGATGCTTTTGTTGTGTGTGTGTGTTCATTTGTTTTGTTACTTTATAATCCCCATGTGAGTGAAACTATCTGGCATTTGTCTTTCTTGTTCTGACTTATTTGGTTTGACTTAATGACCTCCAGTTCCATCTACTTTGTTCCAACAATAAAATTTCATCTTTCTTTTTAGAGCTGAGTATTTGTTCATTGTGTGTGTGTGTGACCACATCCAATTTTTTAATTATTACTTTATTAATTTATTTTAGAGTAGAAGAACTAGAGTGTGGGACAGTGATGTGTGGTATGAGAGTATTCACCAGAGACAGTGGGGAGCAGAACAGGTGGATCTACTGAAGTATACTGCAAAGGAATGTAGTGGGCGAGACAGGAGAAGTCTGCTGAGTCGTGTGTGTTAGCTGCCTAGCCAGGGATTGAACTTTTGATAGGATTGCATTAAATGTACATATTGAATTAGGTAAAATGGCCATTTTAGCAGTGTAATTCTTCCAGTTCATAGGTGTAGAATATCATTTCCATTTTGTTATGAGACTAATATTCCAAAATCAGACAAGGGCATTACAAAAATAAAAACTATAGACCTATATCTTCTATAAACATAGATGTAAAATTATTTAATAAAATCTTGGCAAATTGAATTCAGCAGTACATTAAAGGACTCATACATTATGACCACATAGAATTTATTTCAGTTTTATAAGGATGGTTCAACCAACATTCAAAAAGCAATTAATATAATTAACTACCAACAAGAGGAAAGATAAAAATCATATGATGTTATCAGGGTTCAGAGAAGCATTTGTCAAGATTCAACAACCATTTATGACAAAATGGGAATAGAAGAAACATAGAATATTCTTTAAAAAATGAGTAGAAATAAAAATAAGTGACAGGATACCAAACTCCTACACAAAAATCTGTTGTGTTTAATACACAGTGAATTAGAGAAAGTGCAGCTAACTATCCCATGTGTAATTGTATCAGAAGGATAAGATATCTGTATTTTCAACAAGTTACCTTCTTAGTGCCATCATACATTCAAGTGCAGGTGACCAGTAGGAAGTTGAAACTTCAAGAAGAGTATAGGGTTCGAGAGAAATATTTGGAACTCAGCAGCATATGGCTAATATTTAGAGTTATAGACTGAGTATTAACTGGGGTAAAAGAATAATCAGAAAAGCCTGGCACTGGAGTTTGGATTTGAGAGCTTCATGATACAGAGTCCAGGAGGAGGGGAGAGGCTGCAATCTGAGAAGGGTATGAAGAAAATAAGGGGGAGGCTTATGGAAATCAAAGGGATGATTTCAGAAAGAGAGATAGTCTTTCCTAATTATGTCGAGAGGCAGTAAGAGGGATAAGAAATGACTGTTAAGTTTGGGGTTTTGTGACCAAAAAATATAAAGAATAATTTCAGGGAATCAGTGAGGTGAGTCATGTGTAGTTTTGGGTTGGGTTGAGGTAGTTATTTATTATAAATATTTATTTCTTCAAAAATTATTTTGAAGAAAATGAAAGGGAGTTTTATTTATGTGATGAACTACATCTCTGTCTATGGAATATATGTTCTTTCCCTTTTATTCTGACTTATTTAGTATTCTTTTTTTAGTATTCATCCTTGATTGTCTCACATTCCTTGGGGTCTGAAATCACTCCAGAGTTCTTTTTGGACTCTACTTTGGGAAGCAATAGTTTATAAAACATGCCAAGGTCATAGTAGTTCTCAAAATGTAGAAGGGGGATTTCATAAACTAAGCTCTCCTGACAGTACATCAGATAGGATGGAGGCAAGACAGTGTATAAAAGCCAAATATATTAATAGGACTTGAGTAATGTTGTATATTTTACACATATTTGTAGCTTTAAAATAGTAACAGTTATATCCTCTTATTGCCATACAATTTGGTTAAACAAAAGAAACTTGTAGGATAAAGAATACTGTTTCAATAAATCTTTGGCTTTAATTATCTTCAGACTTTGTACTTTTAATTTTTTCCCAACTAGTGAGCTTTTGTTCATTTTTAAAGGTTAACTTTTAGATGATTGTCAATGGGTGTTTTAACACCTCCTGGGGGCTGTCTTGGAAACTGATAGGGAACTTGCACTGGGGTAGTTATAAATTATCCTGTTTCAAATTTAAGTCTCTAAATTAAAAAATTATGTTTTGATAAAAAAACCTTTTTTTGATACATAAACAATCATTAACAAAACTATTATTGTAAGGAGCTCACACTTCAATTATCTACATATTCATTTGGTACTTGAATTGTTGATGAAAAAATTCTAGTCATTGTATAGATTTTTCTCCAGTTCTTTCCCATTCATGGGGTGAACATACTTTTTTTTTTTTTGTCTTTTTTTTTCTATGAATGGACAGGGGTTTCTTTCCATATATTTTATTAGACAAAGATTGTGTGTTAAAACTTTTGGCTGCAGCATTTTCTGTCCCCACCCCCCCCACCCCCCCCAGCAGTGTACTTGGTCAGTCTGCCTGTTCTGCTCCCCACTCTGTCTCTGGTGAATCCTCTCACCATCCCTGCACCTCTGCCTTGTACCCCAGTTCTGTATGCATAAATAAATAAATCTTTTTTTTAAAAAAAGTAGGTAACCATCTGCAACAGTTTAACTTTTTTTTGTTGTTTCTTTGTTTTTAATGTCTATGGTATTCCATTTTTGTTGTTTCTTTGTTTTTAATGTCTGTGGCATTCCATTTTATGAATGTACCTAACACTTCTACTGTTTTTATCCCTGGGGATTTAAATTATCTCTTGTTTACTGTTTTTAAAATTAAAAAAAAATATTTTAAACAACATATTTACCTAGCTCTTTGCTAGGTAAAGAGCTCTTAGGTGAAAATCAGTAAACACTACTTGATATGGGTTGGAATTTATGGGGCTAATAAAGTATACAAGTTCTTACATATTTGACATTTTACAAAAAAGTAAGCCTTCCAAAGTGCAAGTACCTCTACTTCCTTTTTTCTCTTTTATATAAGATAAAATGTTATAGATAACTTGCAGGTAAGCACAGTGGGTGCTAAGTAGTCTGAGTTTAGATCCAAAGCTGTTCATGGGTCACTAGTATGTTCTGATTGCGGACAGCTATAAACTTTGGGCCTCAGAGGTCCACAAATAATTGAGATTGGATACGAATGCTTTTTGTGTGGAAAAGAAGGCCTCATTGGGTTAGGTTATGGCAGGCAACATTTAATAAAACATCTGTTCATTTATTTGTTTAATAAATTAAATAATCTTAGTGGTCTTATGATCATTCAATGGGAACTGCTTGTCTTTATTATTATTATTTTTTAATATTTATTTATTTACAAGGACTGGGGTGGGGAGTGGGGGTGAGACACTTCATCAGAGTCAGAGTGGGGAGCAGAACAGGCAGCTATACTGAAATACACTGCTAAGGGGAGCACTGAGTGGGTCAGGAGAGGTCTGTCAGGCCATGTGGGTCACTTCCCTTGCTGGGGACCAAACTTGTGCTACAGTGGCTGTGGAGAGCTTCATAGTGTTGTGCTTTAACCTGTTGCACCATCAGGAAGGGCCCAGAACTGCTTGTCTTTAATACATATATATGTACTGGTATACATGTCCTGACTTGTGAATCTTTTTAGATGAACTCCAGCAAAGAATGTGCAGTCCTGAACTATCTTTAAACTATTTCTATGTAGGAATGGCTTTATCTCTGTATATTGTTACAGATAGATATTAACATTTAAAATTCTGTATTTCAGTAAGGTTCTATAATAGTAGATTTTCATGTTTTATTAAAGCCTAGTAACTAGGCAAATTTTGTGATTTTTCTAAAAAAATGCCCTTGTTCTTGCCTATCTTTTTTTTTAAGATACTTAAAGTTGGCATGTAACAATACTCTACTCCCTAGATTTTATAAATTAGTTTGGAAGGATTTGGTACTTAGAATCTTTCCATGTGGAAATATCTAACTTTCTATTTATTTAGATCTTTTTTATAGCCTTTGTTTTCTTTATATTACTGACTTTTTTTAATTTAGCCTATTTTAAATATTTATACAGTTTTTATTGCTCTTGGAAAGTAATGTCTTTTTTTTTGTGTTGTGTGTATCATGGTTTTGCATTTGTACAGAAAGTTTAGATTCTGCACATATTTGTTATTTTGGGCATTTGTAAGAAATTTATAGATGTTCACTTCTTAGAAGTGTTTATAAGTGAAAAGGGAGGGAAAAAGAAAGGAAAACTTAAATTATTTTAGAAGAATCATGTTGGTATCCTTCCTTAAGAAGCCTTGTACTGGATATACTGACTTGAGCGCATACAGAATAATTGGCATAGTTTAATTAGGCCTTTGCTTCATAATAGCAATGAAAAATTACTTAGATTCTCCTGGTTTAATTTTTCATGTGCATAAAATTTAGCTTATTCAACAGAAACTCATGCATCTCTCTGTATCCTACTTCTGATTCCTTAATGTATAATTTTTTTATTTGAAAAAATTTTCTTGAATTATATAGACTAAGTCTAGTAATTTAATGAACACTGTGGGATGATGCAAAGAAATTTAGATTGACTATTCTTTCAGGTATTTTTAAAAATTATATTATGTTCAAACATCTTTTTCTAAAAGGCAAATCACATTTATAATTTTCTGCATAAAAGCTCATTATTTTCCATTGCCCTTAGGACAAGGTCCAGAATACTTGTATGACTCATAGGTTTCTCATTCCATTTGTTTTCTCTTACCTTTCCACAGATCTAGTGAGTCTATATTTAGTGTCCTGCAGTTTTTTTCAAATCCTTGCTTTCTTACCTCTTCCTATTATCTTTCCCCCTTTTCCCTTAGAATGACCTCTCTTTCTTCAGGCCTCAATTTAGGGTCTTTTGGGAAGCCATCCCTGACCCTGAAATTTAAGTTAGACGTCTCCTGTCTAAGTTGTCATCTTATCTCAGTATCCCCTTACAGATAGCTGTTTACTTGGACCCTCCTTAATAGCATAACAGGTTAAAGTGCAGCACTATGAAGCTGTCTACAACTGCTGCAGCACCACTTCCATCCCTGGCCAGGGAGCTGACCCACATTGTGTGGCAGACCACTCCTGAGCCACCCATTGCTCCCCTCAGCAGGTATTTCAGTATATCTGCCTGTTCTGCTCCCCACTCTGTCTCTGGTGAATCCTTTCACCCCTCACACTTCTGGCCTGTACCTTATTTTTGTATGCATAAATGATGACTCTAAAAAAATTAAATTAAAATCTGTTTACTTGTCTTCTCTGACTTCTTGAAGGCGTGTACTGTACTTTACCACTTAGAATTGATAATGTATTTGTAAGTAGTGTTTAGTCATATTACACTTTAATTATAATTGTTAAGCAACTAGATGTTTCATTAACATTTCTGTTGTTCCCTTTTTATTCTAGGACTGGGCTAATGCTAATGTCAGCAGACAGATTGAGGACACTGTATTATATGGGTACTATAGTGAGTATCTCAGTTTCATTTTTTGTTTGAGCTGCTAATCACAATGTAGAATAAAGCAATATTTATTTTTGATATCATATTTGAAATAACTACTTTTGACATCTGGAATAATTAATGTAGCATTCATTTTTATAATCCTGTAAATTTTTAAACTTACATTGTTTCATTTCACTCTGTCTTTGTGGAGGCTCAAAGTACCTTAAATCTGAGCTCTTTTCCTTTGTTTCCATTGCCAGTTTTCCACTTGCATCTTGATTTAAAAATCTCAATTTTCTAGGCATATTTTTCTATGTTTGATTGTCTTCTCTGGGAGTTAATAGTCTTGTTTATTATATTGGACAGAGCCAGCGTTCTTCAAGGGATTATTGACTGGACCCTCTCTAGCTCTCTCTTTCCTGATGGTGGATTTATAATAACCACCTAAATGTCTCCAGAATTTTTTTCATTGAATAAACATATGACTTGATTTTTTTAATAAAAAACGTGCTGAGTTGAAAAGGAATGTCCTTTTTCAGCAATAAATCAAAATGCTATATAAAATTTCAGTAGTAGGACATTAAAATGGAAAGTGAAAAAAAAATGTACAGAAGTTTCTATTGGTAGAACAATTTTTTCAAGGATTTTAATTTAGCTGCTTTGGCTCTCTTTTTTAAACCTTTTCTCTATCTCTAAGCTCTATAGGCTCTGTGAAATATGTCCCTTTTGTCTACACTTTAGAAATTTTTTATGGTATTTTAATACAGATTTATTGGTTTTGATCAATAATTAAGTAGATATAAAGTATAAAATTTGAGGTACTCAGTTAAAACTGGAATAATCCTGTATTAAGCAGAAGGTAATCCTTTCAATTCAAATTTATTTAGTGGATATAAATCATTTCTTCCAAAGCGGTTTTGGAGGAAGTATCCTCCTCCTCTCTTGTGACATTGAAATGTGTTTATTTATGCTATAGAATGCATGAAAGACAACTTTTTTCCTAAGTCTTTTTTCTTATCATTGAATCAAAATATGACTAGATTAAATATTATTGGGTTGAGGATTAAACCGACCACGCGTGACTTTAGCAAGTATTTTTCCAAGTCTTTTCAAGGAGTGTGTCCCGTATCATTTTAAAGGCATGCGAGATAAGTTATTTCAAAGTCATTGCCTTAGGAATATATGGCTTCTCAGTTGCTTGACTTGAAGTTGGACTTGCATGAATGTGGGGGTTGTAGAATGAAAAAAAGCCATAAGCAAGATTATTAGACTATTTTGTTTGGCTCTACTATAGTGGCCCTGTTACTTTTTCCAGAGGTTCTTTTTCTCTTGACTGGATTCTTGGGCTGTCATTTTGTATAGATATAAATTGATCATGCATAGTCGTTCGTGTTTGAATTCATATGTGCTCAACGTTTTATCTAAGATTCTTCTATGTTGTGGGTTGATTGTAATTGCTATATTAATGTACTATATCATTCTAGTATTCATGATCACTTGGGTGGTTTAGTTTTTAGCTATTTCAAATACTGTTGCTACAAGGATCTTGTATATGTGTATTTAAAAAAACATGTTTTCCATTGTGTGGCTGCTCTTCTAATTTAGTCAAAAAATCCCTGGTTATTAGGTGTTACATTCTTACTTTTTGCTATTAAGTAACTATAGAGGAAAGTGTCTTGCAGTATGTTCATAGTTATATGAGTTAAGATAATGGAAACAATAAATAAGTTGGATTAAGAAGCTTTCAAACTTTTGTTTCTATGCCTGACTTTTTATAGCACCTAAGGAGAATTTTCAGAAAGTCTCACCTCACTCCCTGCTTGTTAATTGCTGAAAAGTTATACCTGGAGGGTACAATGTAAACATAGATTTACAATCTCTTAGTGCCTAATTTAAATATAGTACCTTGGGACTTTGAAATCATTTAACTTCTCTATAATTCTCTACTTGTCAAATGGCAGTGAGTAGTATCTGCTTTACAATATGAGGAGAGTGAGACCTGTGGTCAGTTCTAAATAGGTGATACTTGATACTTTTATTCACATCAGATAAAAAAGCTACAGAAGTAAACCTAAGTTCAATGATACTAGAAATCAGTATTAAAAGAATTGATCTAGTATTTCATCAAATTTGCCTCTTTGGCCAATTTGTATTTTGAAAGCACTGCTGATATATTTAATCACTTTTCAGGACAAGGTAGAAAAATAGAGGCTAATTTTAGGCATTTGTTTTTTGATTTAGGCTTGTAAAATTCTTGATGAAACATAGTTGTGCTTTATCTCCTGCTTTCCTTTCCCCCTTTTAAAAGAACATGTTTTTAATCACTGGAAGAGGTTTTTACTTGAATTCTGGTTAGGTTTGCTGAAGAGTGCTCTGGATAAATATTCCTGAGGCTTAATAATATCTACTTAGCTTTCAAGTAGAAATACAGAAAGTAAAGGCTTTTTTTATTACAAAGTTTATTTTTACATCATTTTGCACATTTTTTTTTCCATCTCCATTGTAATCCCCACGGGTTTCCCATCACCAAATCACCCCTGTGCCACCACCATAGTCCCGTGCATTTCCCTCCCTTCCCCCCCCCCCCCCCCCCCGTTTTTGATCCCATTCCTCACTCTGCCTCCACAGAATGTCTCTGGTATATGGTTGTTCATTATTTTTGTTATTTTCTCGCCTAGTCCATTATACTCCTGCTATGAGTGAAACCATCCGGTATTTTTCTTTCTCTTTCTGGTTTATCTCACTAAGCATGATCTTTTCCAGCTCCATCCAGGTTGCTGCAAAAGACATGTGTTTCTCATTTTTGGTTACTGAGTAATATTCCATTGTATATATGTACCACATCTTTCTAATCCAGTCATCTACTTTTGGGCATTTGGACTGCTTCCATGTTTTTCCAATTGTAAATAAAGCAGCAATAAACATGGGGGTACAAGTATCTTTTTCAATCAGTGTTTTTGTGTCTTTTGGATAGATACCTAGGAGTGGGATTGCTGGGTCGTAAGGAAGCTCCATGTTTAGCAGTTTGAGGAACCTCTAAACAGTTTTCCATAGTGGTTGTACTAGTTTGCATTCCCACCAGCAACGCAGGAGAGTTCAGTAAAGGCTTTTTTTTTTGTACTTTCTAACTCTGCCTTGTATATTCTCTCACGAATAACCTGCTCATTTGTCACCTTAGTAAATAAAACAAACCTTTATTAGCGTTGCAGGAGTCAGAGAAATAGGTATACAAACTCTTCATTTGCTTTCTTATTGTGCCTTTTGAGTGACTTGCTGTTTTTTTTTTTTTTTCTTCTTCCTGACCTCCTTACTGTTTATGTGCCCAAGGCTAAGTATTTACCTATTCTCTGAATTAATCCCTTGCTTGATTCTAAATACTATACCAGTTCCAAACTCACAGAATCAAATATTCCTGTGTATAATTGTTAACTTGATAATTTCTGCTAAAATGTCAAAGGTATCTCAAATTTAATGTTTCTAAAACAACTCACCCCAGTCTGTAGACTCAGTTTTCCTTGTTTTAGTCAGTAGCAACTGGCAGGGTAGAGTTGAGTTTCTCAAGTCTAAAACCTTGAGTCATCCTTCATTCTAAATTTTTTCATATTTTTTTTTTCTGAACATGGCAAGAAATTCTTTTTCATTTGGTTTTTAAGTTTATGTAGAATCTGACTACTTACTACTCTTGTCCATTTTGGGCTGCTGTAACAAAAATGCTACAGGTTGGGTGATTTTTAGACAACAGATTGGGTGGACAGTTTTGCTCACATTTCTGCTAACTGGGAAATTCAAGATCACTGTGCTGGTTCTTGGTGAGGGCCCTCTTCCTTGCTGTGTCCTCACGTGGAGGAGAGACCACAAACACTGGTTTCTCTTACTTTTATGGATCACATCAAGTGGAATCCACTTATGATCTCCTCTAAGCCCAATTACTTCCCAAAGAACCCACCTCCAAATGCCATTACTTTGGGCATTAGGACTTAAACAAATTTTGGGAGGTGGGGACATAAGCATTTGGCTCATAACTCACTGTTACAAAAAAAAGGTTGACAATATACAAATATTGACACAGAAAGCAGAATGTTCACATGGTGTTGTTAAGGATGTAACATAGTTTGGAACATAGTTTGCAACTTTCTTAAAATGTTAAATTGCTCTCTGGTTTCTGCTAACTATAAGAATTCCATTTCATGGCCATACAAATATATGTCCATCTGCAAATATTCATAACAGCTTTTATTCATTCATTCATTTATTTAGAATAGTCTCACGCTGGAAAGAATCCAAATTTAGTAGGTGAGTCTCAGGTTGGCTTTACCTCTTAGTTCTTGGTTGCCAGTAAAGTCAGTTCTTTGCCAAATGGGTCTTCCCATCAGTCAGGTCACCACATGGCTTCAGAAATATCTCAGACTAAGCAAGACAAAAACTAGTCTTTTTGGTGACATCTCACCACTTTCATCATATTTTTCATCAGGGATGAATCACTAGGACTTGCTAGCACACACTTAAGGGGAGTGGGTAGCACAAGGGATATAGGAGGCATGAGGATCTTCGAAAACTATTTTAGGGGCTGGCTGCCATCCATTACAGTCTTGAAAATATAGACAGCTTTGTTTTTACTCTATGTATAGTATTAAACATACAAAATACGATTTGAAGTTGCTACTGTGATGTCCCTTTTGTGCCTTTCCATCATGCCACCTCTTCCCCTCTCCTAGAAGTAACTACTGTTCTGTAGTGAGTCTGTGTTAATCCTTTGCTTTGCTTTATAGTTTTGTCTCCTGTATCCTTACTTAGTTTTACATTTTGGGGAGCTTTATGTGAAATGACTTGCTTGTTTTCATTCATCTTTATGTTTTTAAGATTTACACGTTATTACATAAAATATAGTTTATTTTATTTTCATTGTCTGTGAACAGTTTGGACACTGATATTTTTCACTATAAAAATTATTCAATGACTGTTTACACATTTCCTTTTTCAGATGTACAAATACATACATTTGATGGATCATAAGTTGTATCTAC